AAGCAGTCTACCACTTGAGCCACAGTGCCACTTCTGGCTTTTTCTGCTTATGTGGTGCTGAGGAATCGAACCCAGGGCCTCATGCATGCAAGGCAAGCAGTCTATCACTGTGCCACCTTCCCAGCTCCCCTGCTAGACTTTCTGAAACTAACTTCTGGAAAAGGAGAAAAAAGGACGTAGGAACTAGGAACTAGCTGGCCACAACTGCTCATTCTGCATATCAATGATCACCGCTAAAACTAAGTGGACAGAGGATGTTGGGAAGAAAGAGAAAAATGCTACAGGGTGGTTGCTGCTGCTGATGACCTGAGGGTTTCTTCTCACTTGGGACAGGGTAACAGAAGGTAGTGTGTCTGCAGCTGTGGTGCTCACCTGGGGAGGCTGGCTTGGGAGATGTCTACAAAGCTCTGGCTGAGCTGGGCGATGATCCGGTCGATTTCTGCATATGGATGAGCTTCTAGAGCAAAGCTCTGGTGCTGGGCACTCTGAAGATGCTACCCAGGACAAGAGGAGGCATGGAACATTAGACAAGGTTGGGGTGAGATACAAGCAGAGCTCCCAAACTGGTCTTAGGTAAGACTCATCCTTGCTGCCCAGGCTCTCTCCAGTCTGGGAAGGTGCTGTCTAATGGGGCTTGCTTACCACATGGAGATCTGCAAAGGTTTCTTTGCAGCATTCACAGTACCCCTTCTTCCTCCTGGGCAAGGTGTGCACAGCTGATCGCAGGCTTGGCTCTGGGTCCCTGAGTTCTCTGGAGAGGAGAGTGGAAGTGCTGGTCACGACTGTGGATCTCAGGGGAGAGGCTGCTGCTTAGGGTCTGGTGCTCAGACTAGGAAGATGATCAAGGAGCCAGGCAGGCTTACCCTACACTTGGTACCACGCATCCAAGGGTGGTAGAAGAGGCAGAGAAGAGGTGGTCACCACATCCTCCCTGTGTCCTTCTTGCCCCTACATTTCACAGGTGAGGGCAAATGGCAATGGCTACAGGAGACTCCTGTGTAGACATTCACCTGTGTGCCTAGACACAGCTATGTTCACCTGACCTGTAAGATGGAAGGCAAAGTGCCTAACAGCAGGGAGGGGACTGTTCTGCCATCAGTTTCAGGCTGGCTTGTCCTTCTCACAGCTGCCATCTCTCAAAGTCTTCTCACTGGAATTTCAGCCATGTCTATAAGATGGCCTGAGAGACATTGCGCTCTTTGGCATCCTAGCAAACTCATGTCTAGATCCTGGATACTATTCTTTTTTTTTTTTTTT